TGAATGGGAAGATCGGCTCATTGTTCTCATCCTCATCATAGGGTAGCCAAGTCAGGATATCTGCATCAAACCCTCTGTAAAACTTTTTGAAGAGATAACCAACATTGACATCAATTGTTATGGCCAATGTAGCCTCACCATAGCTCATGCACTGACGAGTTCTTCCTTCTTCGCCTCTATATTCCTCATCAAAGTTGGAGGAAGGAAAACTTAGGTTTCTGAGATCAGGCCTTATAATCTTGTGCATATACAAGTTCAGTCATAGTTGTATCAATCACAAAGGGCCACTGATGGTATGCACTGGTTCATTCTTCAGTAATTGGGCAGCTACCTGGTGCATCAGATGATAAGCAGCTCCTAACAGATACTTTCTAAGAGGAATATCCTTGCCTACTGCTAGATGCTCGGCCATGACTTTGTGATTATAAGTCAGACCATAAGATGACCCATGAAAGATGAATCTCTCTACCCACATGTTCAGAAAGGCCACATATTCTTTTTCGCTAACAGTTGATTCGTCTCCAATGTGGTTCAGAATGTAACTCGGCCATCCTGTGTAGTCTGATATTTTGGCTAATTTCTTAGATCTAGCACTTAAGAAGTCATAAGGCTGCATCGATCCTATTATTCTAAGGCCGGTCAGTATATAAACATCGGCAAAAGTGATGGTCATTGGGCCGTGACAAAAAACAAAGGCATTTAGGGTATTGGAACAGAAATAATATGCAGAGATCAGGAGTGGATTATTCCTCTCAATTCCAGACAACGAGATGTCAAGCATTGATTTAGATCATAAAGCTCCCAATCTCCAGCCTTTTTCTCGGATACCCTACGAAACCAATATCTCCATCCCCTAGGCATTTTGGGCCAGTTTCTGACGGGAGTTTTGGTATTACAGGAAGACGAACCTATTATAGATTGTTTGAAGAGGATTTGGTTGGTTTCTTGACAGATAAAATTAGATGGATCAGGGTCACCCATAGGCCCAAGAAAATAGACATTGGGAGCAACGGCCGCTGGAATCAAGATTTTGTTTCTCATTCTTAGAAACCAGATAAAATAAATTTGAGAAGAAAGGAAGCGTAGGGTAGCAACTGATAGTTTGATGGTGAGAACTTGAAAGCATACCTTAGAAACATGGTCGCTGGTCGTCATTGCAGCTGAAATAGATTTGAATCTGAGGAAGATCGCTTGAATAAAAGCTTGGTGGAGGAATTGCTAGGGTTGAGGCTTTGGCGATGGCGGCGTCGGTTGTTAAGATTTGCTCAAGAAAGAAGGGGAAAGCGAATGGGCCGAGTAAGTTGGATACAATACTGTTGGGATATTATATAAAAACTTGGACCGAGAAGTCAGGGAGTCACGCGGATATCTCAGAACAAAACGGTTGCGACGTGGTAAACAGATAAATTAGAATTTTGGAATAAAATCATTTTTATCCTAAAATTAGGGGGCATGTATTTACACCAAAATTTGGAAAGGAGAACGCGGGAACTCAAAGCTTTCAAGATCGTGTCAACCGAGGAATCGATTGCATAAGAATCGATATCGACTGATTCAGATATGGCACCAGAATTGACTCTCTTCGAATGACGACAGCAGATAACGACAATGAGCTACGGTTGGCGTCAGGGAAAACATGTCGGACTCTACAAAAAGGGAAAGATTAGGGACCAAGTTATTTTAAATTAGGAATGTTTTATTTTATACCAAAGATTGTAATGAGTCGTACTTGAGTTGAATTCATGCTTAGGCTCCGGGTATAAATATTAGATCCTAGCTATTGTAAAAGGGACATCCAATTAATCAAATACAATTTACTTTTTTCGGCTCCGTGTCAACCCTTAGGAGTAGGAGTAGAGTAGATCTCGGCGAGTTCTTCAACAAGCAGGGCTACATCGGTCCGGCCGACCTCCGGCTTGTCTATAAGTACCTTCATGTCTTATACTTCTGTTTGTACGGCTGTATCGATCCGGTCGACCTCCACTGCGAACTCTAGTATAAGCTAGATATCGACTCTTGTCTAGTTCAAGTACGGCTGCATCGATCCGATCGACCTCCACTGCTCGAACTAGACTAAGGTCAAGTTATCGGCTCTACCTAAGGTTGGTGTCCTTCGAGTAGATTCATTAAGTTACCGATCTTGCTGATGTTCTTATTGCTATTAGTTTGCAGCAACATCAATCTGTCCGGTCGGGATCAATCTAGATCGGCCTCATATCTTTTTAGTCTGTCGTTCGCTTTGCCACAACACGATGTTTCTTACTCTGAGCGACGGGTTATGTTTTATCGGCTATTCTATTTTGATCTTGATCGTGCATAGTACACGGTTAAGGCACGTATGATCTTGAAGAGGTTTACTGGTTAGTTAAATCTGGTCTATATTTCGCTATTATGGCTGTAACGATCTGGTCAATCCCCACTGATGGCACTGTAGATTGGAGGATGCTAGTTAGTAGATTTGTTCTCGATTAGATGTGACCTTAATTGGTTGCTATGCCTGCATCGGCTAAATAGTTGATCACCTATGCTTTAACGCTTACAGTGTGCGTCCATAATTCTGTTAAGCGTGAATAGATCTGTGTACTTTAAGGGTTTGATTTGTTGTCTTTATCACGGCTGCATCGATCCGGTCGAACCCCACTATTAGAGATAGCAGGTTAAGTCTGATGAGTCCATAGGTTTGTTCGCGTGAAAATGAAAATGAAAATGTGGCCGCCTACGGTGTGAGGCCATACCCAGAAAATGAAAAGAAATTTCAAACGTCTTGTTCAGAAAAGATGACCACCAACGTGTGGCCGAATGGTTTTTAAATTCTAAAAAATGCGAACGAAGTCTCAAAATCATAAGATTTGTCATGATACGATGATATCATACATGGAGGCTGTGGTAAAAATTGAGAAGGTTTCACACAATTTGTCAAGTACGATGTTTACAAACCGAAGCATCTCAGAAGAATAATCGTAGCGTTGAGAAGGATTCGGTAAGATTTATAGTCAAAGTGACGGTCGAATTGGGGTTTGACTTCAAAACTTTTTCTATAGCCAATAGAGAACATAGATAGTTTTATGTGAAATTTTGGTATTTTTTTTTATCCGTTTGATAATTTTAATTTATTAAAACCAATTATAGAATTTTAATTGATATAAATTGAATTTGAGTTATAACTGCATGAAATAATGGAATAATATTCGTAGAAAAATCATATATATATATTGTTGAGTCAATTTGACAAGGTATTTTTAAAGTACATCGGAACAAATTTAGAAAAACACGTTACGAAAAAGAAGGAAGAGGGGGAAAAAGGTTTGCCGAGTGCCCCTAATCTGGCACTCGGCAAACACTGCTTTGGTGAGAGTCAGATCTGGACACTCGACAAAGCTCCTATACTATAACTCATGCACCCCGCCGCCGCCCCCACGCACAAACGCACCTCGCCGCCGCCCCTCCCCTCCCCTCCCTCTCCCACCCCTCCCTCCCTCTCCCTGCCCCCACCGCCGGCGCCCCGCCCCCGCCGCTGGCTCTCGACGCCGGCCCCCCTCCCTTCCCTCCCTCCCTCTCCCGACCCCCCTGCCCTGGCGGAGGGGACAGCACCCCTAAGCCCCATCGGCGGCGCGCGGGCCAGGGGCGAGCTGTAGCCCCCTAGCCGAGAGCGGCGGCGCGTGGTCCAGGGGTGAGCTTCCCCCACGGGAGTGGTGGCGCGTGGCCGCGAGGAGCTTCCCCATTGAGGGCGGTGGCGCACGGGCCCCTACAGTGAGCTCCCCCGCCCTCTCTCCCTCTTCTTACCCCTTTTGTGCAGGGACGCGGCGCGCGTGGTGGCGGGGGACGTGGTGGCGGCGGCGGCGTGGTGGCGGGGGACGTGGCGGCGGCGGGCATGGTGGCGGCCGTGGCGGCGTGGTGGTGGCGGCGGGCGGCGTGGTGGCGGCAGCCTGGTGGCGTGGGATTTTTTTTATATTTTTTGAAAATTCTTTGCCGAATGTCAGTTTAGCACTCGGCAAAGACAGCTTTGCCGAGTCTTTGTTCGCCGAGTGCCGTTTGCCGAGTGTAACACTTGACAAAGCATTTGCCGAGTGTTTTTTGGGCTTCACCGTGTGCCCTAGACACACAGCAAAGCTTATGATTCCAGTAGTGCCGCTTAAGTTCTCTACCATGTTTATAAAAAATATAAAACTGATTTCATATTTTTTTAAGTTAAAACAACAAGGTAAATTGGATGGTTTCAAATGTTGAGGGAGCGTGAACTTCCAGTTTTCCAATAGATGGAAGTAAACTGGACTTACGGATAGTTAAGAGAGGTCGGATGAAATTTTTTCTTCTTTTCCTACGTATATCATCTGTTGGATCTAGAAGCCCACTTACCCCTTCCGCCTACTGTACTCTCTCGGTCCCTTTTAAGGGTCGTTCTCGTTTTTTGAAAAGTCAAATATTTTTTATTTAGCTAAATATATAAGAAAATACTAATATTTATTAAACATAATTGATATTATTAGATAGGTCATTAAATCTATTTTTCATAACAAACTTTTTAGAGATATAAATATTACTAATATTTTTTATGAACCTAGTTAAATTTCAAAAAAAAAAAAGATCAGCCCACTTTCTATAGTGACATAAGGGACTAGTCGCTGAAAAGGTAACCATGAATGAAGCGAATAGAAAAGTTGATGTAGCACGCGGAAAGTGCCAGGTTGGCGTGCCGCTGGACGAAGGCAGCGGCAACTCGGCCTCACCTGCAGGTCTACAGCCGTCGGATGAAAGATCGGCGCAGCAGATCCATCCGGTGAGGTGTCTCTGGTCCCCGTGGTCTGCTCTCCTCGCTTGACAGTTTCCTGTTTTTATTCTTCCTTCAATGTTTTGAAACGGAGAAAAAAAATCTATGTCTATATAGAGCCTGGGCTGGGATGCATGTCATGTCAGTTGTCAGGTCGTGTTTGTAGGATTAACACCTTACCGAGCGAGACGAGACTGCCGTAGTGCCGTGCCGGTCTCTCGTCGGCGGCGAGATGTTTCTGGTGGATTGGTTTTACGACTTGTTTGTTTCCCTGGGGCTCTGGCAGAAGGAGGCCAAGATCCTCTTCCTCGGCCTCGACAACACCGGCAAGACCACGCTGCTCCACATGCTCAAGGACGAGGTACACATTCTGGCGCCTGTTCTTGCTTGCTACCACTTGGTTGATTCTCGTGCCGGCCGGGAGCTTGAATGGTTGCCGTGTTCTTGTACATGTATATGCAGCGGTTGAGTCAGCACGCGCCGACACAGCACCCGACGTCGGAGGAGCTGAGCATCGGGCAGATCAGGTTCAAGGCGTTCGACCTCGGCGGCCACCGGATCGCGCGCCGTGTCTGGAAGGACTACTACGCCAAGGTTTGCTTTGCTGGCCACACGTCGAAAGCACTCGATCACCAGCTGCCATCACTCATCACACGCCCTGCTGCTTCATTCAGCTTCACCCATATTTGCATTCACCCACCCTGCCTGCAGGTTGACGCGGTGGTGTACATGGTGGACGCCGCCGACGGCACCCGTTTCGGCGAGTCCAAGGCGGAGCTAGGCGCGCTGCTGTCGGACGACGCGCTGGCCGGCGTGCCGTTCCTCGTGCTGGGGAACAAGATTGACATCCCGCAGGCGGCACCTGAGCATGCGCTTGCCTACTACCTCGGGCTCGCCGGCTGCACCACCGGCAAGGGCACCGTGGACCTCGCCGGCACCGGAGTGCGGCCCATCGAGGTCTTCATGTGCAGCGTCGTCCGCAAGATGGGCTACGGCGAAGGGTTCAAGTGGATGTCGCAGTACATCAAGTAGGCCTGTCCGGTACGGCAGCCCGAGTCCCAGACATCCCTCTGTGTGCACGGACGTGTTTGCAGGGTGCAATGGTCCAGAGTTGTGGTGAGGCGGTGCATATCTAACCTACCGTTGTCTTTAGCTATTTTATAGTTGTTTCCTTTGTTTTTGTTGCCTTTGTTGCTTGATTTCTTTTGAGGCTTTGTTACTCGATTGTAAGGCCTAATCTGATTTAATACAGTCGGCTGTTTGTTTTTTTTAAAGGAAAAGACTTGAGCGCTATCGAGAAAATTGCATTTTTTTACGGGCCCAAATAATGGGGCTTTGCAAAAGTATAATTTCAAACACTACTTTCATAAAAATAGCAGCTAAAACATTTGCATCTTGTTTTCTCTACCATTTTTCACGTTTTCCTCTTTTGTCTTTATTTCTCCTAAAATATATCACTTGAAAGGACGAATTTGCCCCTGTGCCAATTCACGTGGACTCACGCTGGGCGCCGCTGGCCTAGGCGCTGGCTGGCTGCCGGCGCTCGCATGTGGCTGGCTACATGTGTACAGCGTACGGCATGCAGTAGGGTCGGCCTCGACGTGTGAGCGTCATCCAACAAGGCTGGACTCAAGGCAAGCAGGGCTCTCACCGCAGCAACCGTGTCCCCATCATCAGGCAGCGGGGGCACGGCACGCGGCGGCGGCACGTCGTCCGACGAGGGCATGTCGAACGGCGGCGGCACGTTGCGAGGGCGCTGCATCCGCTGCCTCTTCGTTACGTGAGTTTGCCCAGGGGCAAATTCATACCCTAGCTGGTTGATTTATAGGTGAAATAAAATAAAAATAGAAAAAGTGGAAAATGGTAGAGAAAATAAGAAGCAAATGTTTTGGCTGCTATTTCTACGAGAGCGATATTTGAGATGGTAATTTTGTAAAGCATGTTGTTTGGGCTGTGCAATGCCTGCTGCGAGATGCTGGAAAGACTTTTCAATTCAGGGGACCCAAACAGGTCGTTATAGAGAAAAAAAATATAGCGGTCGCTTTCAACCGACCGTGCTATTTCCATCTTCCCTCGCAGCAAAGTTTCTGGGCCCTTTCCATCTGCCTCATCGAAGACCCCGCAATTTGACGTGCCGAATTGACTCGACACCAGCAAGCTCATCTGCAAACCAGATAACGCACAAGAACCTTGGGGCCTCGTTTAGATCGTAAGTTTTTTCACTCTCTCTTTATCATATTAAATCTTTAGACACATACATGGAATATTAAATATAGATAAAAAAATAACTAATTATACAGTTTGATTGTAAATTACAAGATGAATCTTTTGAGTCTAATTAGGCTATGATTGGACAATAATTATCAAATACAAACAAAAGTGTTACAATACTAAATACTGATTTATAACCCCAATCTAAATAAGGCCTCGGCAACCAAGGCACAGCTTATTCTTGCAGAAAACAAGAAGTCAACATACTCACCCTGCCCTTCCGCTCCAAGCCAATCAGTCCTTTTCTTGGTTGAAGCTTCAAGCCTCATTCGTCACAACAAAAGCACCTCACAATTCGTCCTCAATTCGGTAAGACGGTAACCACTCCCATATAAAATACCTGCCAGTTCATAATTCGAACACAGTCGGGTGCCCATCGTGGTGAGGAAAAGATCCATCATGGTGCTGGGTTTGGGAGGATGCTGCGGCAGCGTCGCCGTCGCCGCCGAAGAAAGGAAGGTGTCGCCTGCAGAAGCCAAGATTCAACGGCGAGCAGTAAAAGATGCGGCATCGTCAGGCTGTTCTTCGGGAGAGAAGGAGATGACGAAGGAGGAGAGGAAGAAGAGGGATCATGAGGGGGAGAGGAAGAAGAGGGATCATGAGAAGGCTCCCCCAATCACGATGCATCAATTCCCCTTCCACTCTCGCCCCAGCTTACTCTGAATATCGATTGTTTGGTCCGGTTCTAGTTCGTCCTGAATGTCTTCAGATGCCATTAGGGCGATCAGCAATGTAATTTTTTTGGTTCTTTGTTCATTTTCCATCCGGTAATAAGTATAAAAAATACTTTTGGATACCATTTGCATCCACCACCTTCTCCTTTCTTCAGAGAGATCTCAATTTCTGTATTGTCGACAGCAGGGAACAAGCAACTGAAACTATGAAAAATGCAATCATCCACTCCAAAAGAAGGCCTTATTATAAAAAAAAAATCCAAGAAGGGATGTTCCTACTTCAGTTTTGGGCCGGGCCAACCTCTTTGATCACTTGGCAAGATGATGACTCGGTCCATGGGTCATCTTCCTAAACAGGTCATGCTTCCATAGTAGGCCTACCTGCATGTGCAGAAATCTATATCTGCTACTTGTAATTGTTTTGCTAAAAAAAAAGAGATGTAATTGTTTGCTCAAAAAAAAAAAAACAGAGATGTAATTGTTTCTAAGTCGTCCTTCCAATCCTATGATCGAAGGGCTCGAGTACCTTCTGCGCCTCCACGTAGCCGGCGAGACTCCGCCCATTGTATTTTTATGATCATCTCGTGGCATTAATATAAACACACTAGTACAACAGTTTATGAACCATAAGCGTTAAAAGGCCAGTAAAAATGGTGATATTCCATTGACACCACCTGAGAACGGCATGTGTAAATGGTTACATTACACTGGCACTAGCGGTTGGTTTAGGCTGCCGTCGTCGTAGATTTTTTTAATCTTGGAAGAGACCCACCAGACAACCTCCACGGCAGCAAGTCCCGAGTTACGCGATTTTTTATGCACATGTGGCCGTTAGGCCAGTGTCAATGAAGAGTTTCGTAACGTTATTTCCAAGACTGCCATATTATGTAAAATGAAATAAAACTTGGATGAAACATCTGCTCTCAATGAAGAGTTTCACTCCATGGTTTCATAGTATTTAAATTCAAGACTCAGAGAGAGTTGGTAATCGCGCTAAGATAGTTTCATCTAGATGAAACTCATTTCTTCTCTCTCTTCTTAAATACACTGCCATATCATCAAAACTGCCTATGTGGCAACATATTTAATGCAAATGAAACTCACGTGAAACTCCCACTGAGACTGGCCTTAGGGATGGAACTCACACCTTCAGACCTCGTGTATTGCTTTCTTAGGCCAATCTCAATGGGGTTTTATGAGAGTTTCATGGGCATTAAATATGTTGATATGGCACTGTATTGATGAAGAGAGAGATGATGAAAGTTTCATGAGAGTAGAGATAGTTTTATGGGGATAAAACTCTTCTGCACCTTTTCCAAAATATAAGTGCGTTGTAACTGGGCCATAAAACCCCCACTAAGATTGGCCTTACCACTACGCCTCAAATTCACTTAAATGGTTGAAAGGTTCTTGTTTGGTTTTAATAATTGAGTGACAACCTTAGGTGAACTAATATGTGTTTGAGTGAGAAACACAGGTGATTAGTCCACATGTATATGTGTGTGAGCAACATATGACATGGAGGTAAAAATAGCTCGGAGATGTTGCAAAGCTCACACATTTGATGATGAAGAAGCTCATTGCACATGAGACATGACATTAAGTCATGTGATCAAGGTGGAGAAGATCGAGACATGACTTGGCTCGACAGACCGGTTGCAAGTGTGAAGGGCAAGTTGAGTGATGACTTGGCGTCGATGGACCAAAGCAATGGTGAAGAGCGAGTGAAGTCAAGATTGATAAACCAATATGGTCACGTGATGATATGGAGTGGTTCATATCATTGTTGATCATGTTGGTGCATCAACATTGGAGGAGATGAAATAGAATGCGTAAGGCAAAGGTATAACCTAGGGCATTTCATTTCATCGGTCATAAATGTGTAGAGAAGTTGATGACCGGGTTTAGAATAGATGGCGTATTTATTATTAATAGGGGCAAACTTGTTTGCATATCGGTCATCTTGTGCCACTTGAGCGATCTAACTTTGCATACATGTTAGGATCGAGTGGCGTGGTGAATTGAGTGATTAACTCCTTTGAAAATGATTGTGAAAATGCTAAACACACATGCACTTGGTGGTGTACACTTGGTAGTGTTGGCACATTTGCAAAGGTGAAGAAGTTGGAGTTGAAACAGATCAACTCGGTGAAGAAAGTCGAAACATGTCACTAGAGGTGTAACAGAACCGACCAATTACCGAAATTAAAGTAAGAAAATCATCCGCCAGAGCAGACGATTTAGCAAACTTAAGCCCGTATAACTTGGTAGTCCGTGAAATCGCGAAGGATTTCAAACCAACTTCCATTCCGACCAAGATCGTAATAAGTTTAGCGGGACCATCACATATTACATAAAAGTTGCAATCTCGGATACATGAGTTTAAACATAGTTATTACAAACCCGTTCGAATAAAAGTAAGCGGAAGCCATTTGTTCAAACCACACACACTCACGCGGAGTTCAAATATAGTGCCGGCGAATGATCATCTCCAACAAAAGCATTAGACGAGGCGTAAGGAATGACCATGCCCATGGTCCGCATCACCCATCGCAGGATAAAGGCGGTTGATACAATAGCAGTAATACATCCGCCCATCTCGCAATAAGGGAATAAAACCACGAATACGAGAAGGTATGGCTAGACTTACCGACATAACCGAAAATAAATGACTCCAAGGATTATGAAGGCTTTATAATAGGGTAGTGACTCATTTGCAAAAGAAGCATTTTTAGCATTTTAAGAACCTTTCTAAAAGCATTAAGGTCAAGTTAATTAGTATTAACTTGTCGACTAGATTTGCACCTATACTAGAGTAAACATGTGATTAAGCAATTAAAGATAACCACTTTGATCATTAAACAATTGTCATATTCACTATAACTTTGTCCAAGTGTTCCATAAACATTTACTACGATGAAGTCACTCAAGTCAAGTGCTCACTATCCGGGAAGCGATGGCGATTCGAATCGATTCTAATTTGGTGATTTATTCCTTACACAAATCTCACTGCTAAAGTGAGATATTGATCAAAGTCAACTTTCTAGGTATCTCGAGTTTGCCGGGAACCACATGTACATGGGGCCGACCGACCTGCACTTTGGTCTTATCATCCCGCCCCGTGTCCTACCACACTTGCTTGACGCGGTGGTTTCGCAGGTCGGCCGAATGGTGGAAGGTACTTTATCCGGCCAGCTAAATGTAAGGCATCGTTCAACATGACTTGAGGCCCAACACGGTCGGTCCTTAATCGACCTGAGCGTGGTCCAAAACTCTACAAGTCTCCGCCCGGTCTCAACTTCATTTAACACTTAGTTATACCATGACTTCATAGCCATCCAAGCGAGATCCGGTAACCACCTATAGCTCGCAGTGATGTGAAATCACCCGACTTCTACCGTCTGGCTAAGCATTGACTCGATTGTTGAGGTAACAAGGATATAGTATAACAAAGGTAAACAAGGTATAATGCGAACGGTTGCAAACAACTCCTGAACGTAATGCATCCATTTAAAGTAAAGCATTTAATGAAATCATTGCAAACCGGGAGAAAGATGCTCGGGCTTGCCTCTCTCGAAGGAGCTTTCGAGGCGGTGATCGGGGCACTCGGGAGTTCTTCAACGTCCTCGTCGGCTTCTAGGTGCACCTCGCGCTCCTTGGGCTCCTCGGGAATGACGACTGGGCTCTCGGTTTGCGATCCTGTATGATGCAATGCGCGCGTAAGTGATTATGCAAAGCGGTGCATCGAAGGAGATGAATGCAATGGATATGTTTAAATGCAAGGTAGTCAACATCTCCAAGAAACTATGCTACAAGCACATGTCATCTCTGCATTCTCTTCTACTACCAATATGTTAAGTCAACATATTTTATTAATTGCTTCAAAGATACACCAAAGCTTTACTAATTTCTTAATCACACTTAAGGCAACACTTGCTTAAACCCTAATTAATAATAGGTTTGAATAGCAACATATATTTCTGATGCTCCTAAAAATCTGAGAAAAATACAGTAGTATAATACTACCCTAAATGGACTACCATAAAAATTTCATGGCATTTGGATAAGTAAACTATCCTACATAAAAATGACAAGCTATAGCATAAAAATAAGCATGAAATTACTTTGTACTATGAAAAGTGTCAAACAACAGATTGAGTATTTTTCCTATGTTCTTTATAGTATATAATCACTGTACAAAAATTGTCACATGCATGTTTTATACAAAATTTGGGCTCTAGCAAAAATAGCAAAAATCAGCCATTAAAGGTACTTGAACTACATCTCAAAATTTTCCCACAGCACATGCATGAAACATATTTTTCCTAGGAAGTACATGACATAAGAAGATTAACAAACTTGGAATCATATTTTTCTGAAGCCTATAAAATTTTCTACATATTTTTCAAGTTATCCTCAATATTCAAGATTAAATAAAATTCTACAGCAAAGTATCTCAAAAATGACATGCACAAATTTTCCCTAGCAGATCTGATGATAAGGAACCTAGGAAAATTTGTTTCAACAATTTTGGAGCAAGTTTGATCACCCAAACATTTTCAAACCATTTCAGATTTCAATTAACAAATAATAAATGGAAATCAATTCATTTAAGGAATCGTGGCCCACGGCCGCAATCGCCCACGCGGACCGAGCAAAAAAGGGAGCGCGGCTGTTGACCAACTCCATGGCAAAGAACGGCCAGCGAAGAGCACGCCACGCCGGCTGCGCGGGTTATTGGCGTTTCAGCGGGCCAGGCGCTTCCGCCACGGCAAACCACGGGAAGGCGCGCAGTGGGTGGCGAGGTAAGCGGTGCTGATCGCGCGAGAAGGAAGACCGAAGGGAAGCGGTTCACCGGCGCTGGCACGAGCTCCGAAGCTTAGCCACGGCCGAGCGGGGAAGAAGCAGCCACCACGCCTCTCACCTCGTCTACGGCAGCCACACACAGGCGCGTGGCTCGGTGGGCTGACGCCGGCGGAGGAATCGGGA